ATTTTAAATTGTATAGTCTCTGTTGTTCTCTGTGAACAACTCAGAGAAGGGCAGTTTATAAATCTAAATAATTAATTAATAAATAAAGGGTTGCACAGTGTAAGTCAATGCAATCAACAGGATGTGATATTAACAATTCAATTGCAGTAGGATTGCCTGAATTTGAAACAAGGCAAAAAGTATTAAACATGATAGGTTAAAATATGCAGAAAATGGTATTACACAAGCAGAAGACAATTTAGTTGCTGCAGGACAATACATACAGCAAACAGATGCATACTATACGTAGTCATATAGTCCACAGTTTCTTGGTCTGTCTGTCTGTCTGTCTGTCTGTCTGTCTGTCTGTCTGTCTGTCTGTCTATCTATCTATCTATCTATCTATCTATCTATCTATCTATCTATCTATCTATCTATCTATCTATCTATCGTAACCATAAATACATTGCTCACAAAATGGAAGAGCACTGCTGGGAGAGGATGACAATGAGTAGACGGGTTGGAATATATTCATGTAGAAATGATCAGATGAGGGGATTTACATGAAGAGGACAACAAACAGCAATAAGTAATATAAACAAAATCAGAAAAGTTTGTACAATGGATGGCATGACCATGGAATGGATTGCTTCCTTCATCATTGATAAAATTATGGGCATTATTCAATTGGGAGCATGGCATTCACACAACTACATTCCATAAACGATTGCAACAGTATTGAATGTGTTATTTATGGAAAGATTTGCATGTCACATCCAATGTTCCCTCTAAGATGTGGAGTCTTGTGAGCAAAAATTCTACTTTGTGAGCTACTGGCATTGAAGTTGTGAGCGAGTGATTTGGCTGCTGGGAATAGGACATCCAGCATGATATGGATCCTGACCATATCAAGGTTCTGTTACAGAACTTTGGGTATATTCTCCAAATGTGAGAAATTCATCTGATCAAGTGAAAAATGTGTTATAAATGTTATATGAACACAGGGCTTTTTTTGTAGAAAAGGCCCAGCAGGAACTCATTAGCATAATAGGCCACACCCAACAGCAGAAACTCAGCATATTAGGCTACACGCCAACAGTGCAGCTCATTAGCATATTAGGCCACACCCCCATGCCTTCCCTTGGCTTGCCCGGGCAAGCCCCTCCTTGAAGGGAAGGGAAGGCAGTTTAAACTGCCTTCCCTTGGCTTGCCTGGGTGCCCCGCAGCTGTTGGGTGCCCAGGCAAGCCGGCCCTTGGAGGGGAGGGAAGACAGTTTAAACTGCCTTCCTTTGGCTTGCCCAGGTGCCCCGCAGCTGCGA